GACATCTGGCTGCCCCTCCCTGGCCCAAGCAACTAGAACAAGGCCGGGGGGGGGGGGGGGGGGGGGAGTGGGTAGAGGGAGCAGCAAGACTTTCTGAGTCCCACTTCTCTCCCTGGGACAACAAGGGTTAACCCCACTTAACCCCCTCCCCAGACCCCAGGGAGGGGGATCTGAGGGAACAGCCGCTCCCGCTTCCCTCTCCCACAGCTTTAGCCCCAGCTGGCAAAGTGCTGAGGCCACAGCTGGGGGAAGGGGCTCCATCTGTGCTCCCCTCCCCACAGAGTCCAGGACCCGCCAGAGGATGAGGGGGGATGGAGCCTCCCACACTCCCTTGTCCCTACCTGACCACAAGGAACTCAAACTACTTCCTCAGGTCCCCTCCCACTCCTCCTTCTGGGCCCTCCTCAGGGACTAAGGAGACTCAGGCAGGAAAGGAGCCCGGCCCCAGACCCTAGCTGTAGAGATGGAGAAAGTGAGCCCAGCAAGGGGCCGGCTCCAGGCCACACAGAAAGGGTCTAGGAGCCCCTTGCACTGTGCCCCGCTCCAGACAGTGGTCCCGGGACCCTCTTCCTCTGAGGGGGCTGCCCTGACCCCATTCACTGCCTGGATGCCCTAGAATTTGCGGGGGCTGGGTGGGAGAGGCCCTATCTCACAGGAACACTACCCACTTTAGAGGCAGATGGAGCTGGGGGCAAGTTCCATCCTACTGCTTACAGCTGTGTGACCTCAGCCCAGAAACCTCAGCATTCTCATCTATGAAATGGGGATAACACCCTCTCTCTCACCAGGCTGATTGTAAAGATTCATTGACATGAGGAGCAAGAAGTGTTACTGAATGCACTTTTTTTTTTTTTTTTTTGAGTTGGAATCTCACTCTGTCACTCAGACTGGAGTGCAGTGGCCGCTCCCGGCCACTGCAGCCTCAACCTGCTGGGCTCTGGCAATCCTTCCGCCTCAGCCTTCCAAGTAGCTTCAATTACAGGCACACGCTACCACACCCGGCAAATAATTTTTGATTTATTGTAGAGATGAGGTCTCGCCAAGTTGCCCAGGCGGGTCTCGAACCCGCGGACTCAGGCAATCCACTCACCTCAGGCTCCCAAAGCGCAGGATTACAGGCTGAGCCACCGAGCCTGGCTGAGTGCACATTTTTAACCAAAGCCCCAGTACACAGTCAGTGGTGTGCCATCACTTTATTTTGTTCTGTTAAAATGCTGGACACAGCAGAGTTTAGAGATGCTTCCCATCTCCCCACCTGCTCGTGGAACTCCTGCCCTCCAAAGGCCAGGGAGAGGCTGCCAGGGACCCCAAGGGTCCCTCCTACCCACTCTATGGCCCCTTTCAGCCTCTGCAGGAGGGATAGCTATGACTCCCAGGAATGGGGGCAGTGACAAGTGGCAGATCTGACAGGCCAGCTGCCAGGCTATCTTAGGGGCCAGATCAATGCACCAAGAAACAGGGTCCCAGCCAGAACCCAAAAGTCCTGCTCCCACTCTTGCTCCCTACTGGTATGCATCTGAGAGATGGGGCAGGAAACTATGAGAAGCACCTTCGAAGCATGAAGCACGGAAGTGAGATAGCAGGAAGGACCTCCAGCTGGCAAGAGTGAGAGCCAGCCATCCCTGAGGCTGACAAGAAGCCCCAGGATAATGGGTGAGGCGATGTCCCTGACCAGTCTGGGGCCTTCCGCAGAACAGTTCCCTGGGGAGGTCCAGGCCCATTAGCCGCCCATGCTTGGGTGTCCTCCCCACCCCCTGCTGCCCAGCCCCAGCCACTCACAGGCGGCTGAGCCGAGGAGTGAAATGGAAGGCATCTGGTGCCACGAAACGGAGACCACTCTTCACGATGGAGCTGGGGAGTAGATGGGGATCAGCCCCGGGCCTCAGCTGCTCTGGGCCCTCTGGTTCTCCCCACCTGTCCCAACCTTCCCTCCCCATCCCCCATGCTGAGCAGGACACCACCCTCCGCCCCCCGATCCCACAGAGTTTCCTCACTACCTGGGCCTTTCAGAGTCCTGAGCTTTCTGACCTCCCCACCCCTCAGTCCTCAGCCTCTCGTGTCTTTGCAGGGCCTCCCAGGCCTCTCAGGCCTAAGCCCTTGAGCCCTCCCCTACCTCCTGGTCCCTCGCCGGGCCCAGGCCGAGCCCCACACCCGCAAGTCCCCAGTTCCCTCACAGGTTTCTCAGCTCCCCCAGGCCCCTCAGGTCCCCGAGCTCCAGGCGCTGAAGATGCTGCTGGTTCTCGATGTGGCTGTGGGAGAGGGGAGGGGAGTCACAGGGTCAGGCCCACACCTGAGTGCCCAGGCCACCCACCGTCACGCATGCACGTGTGTACACATGCACACTCACATGCACCATCCAGGCCTGCTCACACACACATGCACAGGCATGCATACACAGAGACACGCCTCCTCATAATCACATGTGCACATGTGTGTGCATGGACACACACATGCACGCACATGCATGAGTCCTCTCACCCTCGTGTCAGCACACTCCTACACACCTCTTGCACAGACACACACACCTGGGCATATAAACACACACACACAGAGGCATAAACATCGATGCAGATGACACTCATGCACATGTGCATGCAGGAACACACGTGGGCCCGTGTGCATGCAGGAAATCACGTGCCGTGCGTATGCTCACACTCACACATGGACACACAAAAGCAGAGCTCACTTACATCCATCACATGCACACCTGTGTGAGAACGTACGCGCATACTTACACTCACAGACACACTAAGTCCATTCTCAGCTTGGAGTTCTGCTTTCATACCAATACCTCCCGCCCCCAGCCCATGCTCAGCAATGGGGGGTCATGCTGAAACACCTGCTTCCACTAAGCGCCCAGGCTCATCACTGCCACCGCCCCACCCCGCACAGAGGACGCCTGTGGCCATGCAAATATGGTTCTCAAACCCGCCGTCTCAAGGAACACTGTCGGGACTCCCCCATACTGGTACACACACACAAATGCACACTCACCCTCTCTGTCACCTCCCCCGACCCAGCCCCACTCCCCACCCCCAGCTGCTCTTGCAGCAGATCAAGCCAGAGGCATGGAGGCTATCAGTCAGGGACCCCCGGGGGGACCCAGGGAGGAGGAGAGGAGCACTGAGAGGACGGAGGCAGAGTGTCCTGGGTGGGGGAGGAGGCACAGACCCGCTGACTTGACAGAGGGAGATGGAAAGGCTCCACGAGGGGTGGGGGCAGAAGGGCAGAAAAACAAAGAGAGTGAAACAGAGACAGGAGAAACTGACAGGAAGAGACTGTCAGAGAGAGAGACAGGCACCGAGAAAGACAGATAAGGAAAGGGAGACAGAGAGACAGACAGATAAGGACAGAGAGCCAGAGAAAGCAAGATAGGGAGACAAGAAAGAAGGAGGTATGAGCAGGCATTGGGGCTGGAGGCCGGCTGCCACCCGGCCCTGCCTGACTGCCGGAGCTGGCATACCAGGGAGTTCCCAAGAACCAGCTGCTCTGCTGCAGCACGTTAGCATGCCCCCCCACCCAGGGCACGCCAGCCGGGGCCCTGACTCACTGCTCTTCTCAGAACTCTCCCCCCACCCTCTAACTTTCCCCAGCTCCCAGGAACCAGGACCAGCCTGGGACCCTCCCCTTCTCCCCTCCCAGCCTTGCCCCAGCAGGACAGCCAGGTTCCAGGTCCCAAGTCTCCTGCGGCCTAAAGGTAATCTCCACTGACCCTGAGGAGGGTCACTGTCCCTATCTGCCCACCCCCCGCCCCTGCCCCTGGGGGGTTCCAAACCACAGGGACCCGAGGAGGGGGCGAGAGTGCGGTGGGCCAGCAGGGTGTGTGTGAGCTGTCAGGCAGCATGCTCAGAGCTGCCTCATTCGTTTGGATTCATAATCAATCTGTCTATTTGAGTCCATTATCTCCTCGTTAGCTCTGCGGGTGAGGGAGGAGGGAGGGGACTGTGCAGGCAGGGGGGCGTTGGGCTGCAGCCCCACCCAGGGGGACATTTCAGCTCAGTAGTCTGCTTGCCTCCTAGTCCCTAGCCCTGGCCTGTCCACTCCCCCTCCCCCACCCCCAGGCTGACCGCCCTTGTCCTTGGGACTTAGACAGGAATTGGGAGACGGGAGCATTGACGGGGAGCACTCCGGAGCCTGGACCCTGGTTTGAAGGCCCAGAGTGTCAAGAGGCCTGGACCGGGGCTACAGCCTGAATCTCGTGCCCCCCTCCCATCGTGCAGAGACCTAAGCCCAGACCAAGACAAGGCCATCTCCCCTCCTCCTGGTCTCCCCAGAGCCATTAGAGAGAGATATTGAGTACCTTCCCGTTAATTACCACGAGATGCCCGAGTAACTCAGTGCCAATTACTGCAGGCTGCTCAAGTAACTTCCAGACAGTGATGGTCCCCGCCTCAGATACCTTCCAGCCTCACTGCGCGAGGCCAGGGCAGCCCACCCTCTAAGCCCCAGGCCACAGGAGGAGGATTTTCTAGCAGTTCCTCCCCTCTTCTAGAAGTCTTGCTGGCCGCACCAACCTCACAGAATACTCAAGTACTTCCCAGCCATCACCATGTGACGCTTGAGTACCCCTAGGCCAATTATTACAGCATACTCCCATAGGTTTCACCAGCTGCTAAAAAGTACTTGAGTATTTTGTAGCCAATTACTGCCGGATGTCAGAGCACTGCAGAAAGCTGGAGATTCCACCTGGCTTTGCCCCTCCAAGGGCGGAGGGTCTCTCAGCGAGGGCCAGACTCTCTGCCCCAAGGAGAGAGATAAGGATGGAAAGAGGGATGGGGGTAGGGGCAGAAGAGCCAGGAGGAGGCCCTATTTCCCACATCCACAGCAAGGGGTCCTGGGGCAAGGTATCATGGCAATGGGAGCGGGAGCCCAACCATCCCACTGTGACTTCTCACCACCTCCCACCAATTCCAGCTCAATCCCCAATTCCAGGGAAGAGCTGGAGTTGCCCGGCCATGACAAGGAAGGGGGTGGGTGCCGTCTTACCCCGGACTGCGGGGTTCCGCGCGGCTAACCACCCCTCTCCCTCGCGCAGAGCGTGGGCTACTGGCTGAGCTCCAGAAAGCGGCTTTAGACGGCTGGGCTTTCTCAGACCTGGTCCACTGAGATCCCCCTCGCTCTCCCTGAAGCGGCGCCCCAGCTGCCCTGAACCTGGCGACATCCAGGCAGCGACCGCGAGGCTTGCTGGGGCAGCGGCGGCAGCGCGGGAAGGCCGGGGCACCGCCAGGGGCTGCATGGTGCCAGCCTTGCTGCGCTCGCCCGCCCAACCCAGCGAACCGGCAGCGAGTCCGCGCCCTCGGGGCACGGCTCTGACCGCCCGTCCCCGCGCCCCCTCGCCCGCCGGACACTCACAGCTCGGTCAGGTTCTCTGCGCCCGGCAGGTGGTGGAAGCTACGCAGGGCCCCAGCCCTGGTGCATCGCAGCCCCGAGGGGCCGTGGGGGCAGCAGGCTTCGGGGCAGGACGCGGCGCCCGCAGACGCCAGCATCAGCCAAGCCAGCAGGCTCCCGGGCCCCGTAGCCCGGCCGTGCCCGCCGAGCCGCCCGCGCCGTCCGCCCGGCAGCATCGCAGCGGCGCCCGCCTCGCTCCGGCCGGGCCGCCGTCTGTGCGCTCCCGGCTGCAACGCCCGGCCTCCCGCGACACGTGCG